AAAAACAAAAAAAAAAAAAAAAAAAAAAAAAAAAAAAAAAAAAGTTACTCGTTGCACGGTTTCCAGCAGGTGATGCTTCCTACCAATATAGATCAGACCAACCGCCGACTCGGGCAACCACTGTCTTCATCCGAAAATAACGCCCACTTACCCTAAAAATTCAGTTGTTTTTGTTTTTACTCACTTTTTTTGGAAATAGAATGCCCCTTCAAATATGATGTTCGGGCATGATATTCGAAAAGAACGCCCGGGCGTTGTATTTGATTGTGCCATGGGCAGAGTGGGCAGAGTGCCTTGTAGAGGGATAATATGTGGGTTTTAAAGAAGGGGGGGGGAGGGGGGATAAATAGGTTTTAAGGGGGGTTGAAAAGGCTTTTGAATTCTAAGGGATGCATTTTGATTTTTTTTTTTGTTTTCTTTTTTATGTCCAACTTTACAAGGAATTCTGAAGTCACCTTCAGCCAAAAGTTGGTTGTGTTGCAGTTCCAAAAAAAAATCCTTCTTTTTTTTTTTTTTTCAATGTTTTTTTTTTTTTTAAGTTTAGGACCATACCGAAGTTGCAACCAAATTAATTAATATGACCTCCAGGCCTGGGCTACCAGCCGTGGTGCCAGGGTCCCCAAAGCTGGCACGGGTCCTGCCCGGGACGCCCAGCCGGGCAACTGGACCGGATGGGGTCCCGGCCCATATCCCCTCCGCCAAAAAAAAATAATAATAACAATAAAAAAAATGAAAAACATTATGTTGTGCAGAATAGCAAACCAAACAACTTTTGGCTGAGAGTCGCTTCCAAAGTCTTCATAGAATTTGAAAAAAACAAATGTAAGGAAAATCGTATCACTCCCTTTAAAGGCCTTTCAACCCCTTTTAAGCCCCTTTAAGACCCTTCACCGCCCCCCGCGATCCTTCAGAACGACACGAACCCAAAAAAAAAAAAAAGACTGAATTTGGGTCCCTCTCGGAGGGCGCAAAAATGCCCCATGATCAGAAAAAAAAAAAAAGAGTTTTGACTACTTTTTTACCTCGCCCGGGTGACCGGGCCAAGAGGGTCCAAGTCGCACTGGCCCGGTTGGCCGGCCAGGCGGCTGGGCCTGTTTGGGTCTGGTAGCCCATCTCCAGGCATTAATAAACATAATGACGTTATATTGGTATACATCACGCGGGCGTTGTTTTGGGTGACAACGGAACGGAGGGCATCTCAAATCAACCTCATACCAGCATGTCGCGTTTCGGTTAACCAAAACAAAAACAAAAAAAAAATTAAGGTTACACATTGCTATGCTTTCCGCTAAGGTCTATCTATCCACCTTTTTGTTTTCACGATGCCCCCCTGTGTAACTTTACCTTTAGATATGGTCCTAACCAAATCACCCTACTGGAAGTCTGCCCATTCGCCTCACGACTTTCTCGACACTTTAATCAAACCAATTCACAAAGATCCACATTTTGAGGCGGATCCTTAATAAACATTTACTTAATACATAAGTTAGATAAATCACTCCAACCAATTCCACCCATCCGCCTCTTCACATCCATGGTTAACTCTATATAAATATGAGCCTTACCCCAAATATATCACCCAGTTGCACTTATCCGCTCCCTAGCTTCCATGGTGGGTTTGTGTTTCAACTTAGCAAGGCGCGGAGAAGGTAGTTCGCAAACACCAGAGTTGAATAGCAACTGGTTTAAACTACCAGTACAACTGTCCAATCACGATGGAGTCTCTATGGGAAGTTCGGGAATTCGGGAGAGTGTCGGCCTAGGGGCAGGCGGAATATATATATATATATATATATATATATATATATATATCACAAACAGAACTGTTCGGTAAAACCGTAGGCAGAGAGAGAGAAGAGGACAACAAACGCGGGGCTGTGACAAACTGTTTCGTCGGAGTTTATATATTTCTATTTGACGATATATATATATACAGGGTCACCAGCCCGTACGTACGGAGGTCCCCGGGCAGACCTCCGTACGTACGGGCGTTCGGGGTCCCGTACGGGGTCCGAACCCGATGGCGTTCGGCCCCTGCCAAAAAATATTTCGGGGCCTCAAAATAATTATTTTTCTCTGAAACTTGTTCTGTGAGTTCTCTATGACGTGAGGTACATGCCTGTAAATTTTCAAGTCATTTGGCTAAGCCAAATAAGAATTAGAAATCGCCAAAGATGGCGGTGTCAAAACGTGCTCGCCCACGTATTTTTTCACTTTTTACTTTTTGTTTTCACTTTAGTTCGGGGTCTGAACAATTTTATTATTTTTTGAAACTTTTTTAGTGGGTTTTGTATTATGTTAAGTACACATCTGTAAGTTTTCACGGCATTTAGCTATGCCAAAAAACAATGAAAAATCGCCAAAGATGGCAGTGTCGAAAACATGCTCGCGCACTCACTAAATTTACTTCTCTTTTTATTTTTATTTATTTTTATTATTAGTATTTGTTTTCCATATTTTATTTTTATTTCAAATTTGGTAAGGAATTCGGACGTAATTCTCATGTTTAATTTATTTTTTTCCATAACATATCGTTTTTTT